AAGTTTCCTGAATGTTACCGAAAACTCTACTATCGCGGATAAGAAGATATTGAATGTGGCGTATGCGAAATATATGGAAATTTTCACCGATTTTTTCTACGTGCCTTGCATTTACCACGTCAGGCGGTGATAGCGACTTCCTGTGTCTTTCTATATTTGCATAATTTAAAGAGTTTTATGTATTAATAAACAATGAACACGTTTAATTTTTCTCTTTTTTTTTAATGTTTCTTATTTGTGTGTTTAGAAACTTAATTGTTTGCCCCCCAGTGGCACAGCGGTATGTCTGCGGACTTACAACGCTAGAATCCGGGTTTCGATACCCGTGGTGAGCAGAGCACAGATAGCCCATTGTTTAGCTTTGTGCTTAATTACAAACAAAATTTAATTGTTTTGTGCGTTGATCAATGTTTTATTTCCTTCTGTACAAATTTAGTTAGTCTAAAAGAACCAATGAGCTTAGAGTTAAGACTTCTAGCGTACCTCATGGAGAGCTAGTAATTTTGATTCAGAATAAAGTTTTGTGCATTTCAATTATTCACAATAAAAAAAAATTAACCGGCCTTTTACATATAACTTTTGCTTTCATGACCTCTAGTGGTCCATTGAAAATCACTAGTGATATCTATATACTACTAAAACTCTGAGATTGCTTGTGTGTGTGCTTGTCTGTAATTAAATACAGCAAAAACGGCGCAAAATAGTGCCATATTTGTAATGAAATGAGAATAGAAACAGAATAAAACAAGTTTCGTTAAAATCGGGCCACGGATTACCGAGTTAGCCCCGTTTTTCGGGTCACTCTTCGTACATACTATTATCATAAAACTTCGTTTATACAACAATATATGTACAACAGAAATTAAATGATGAGATGAAAATGTGTTATAACGGCGCGTAGAAAGAACAACAATAAAATGGACCTACAATATTATTGACTATTTACAAATATTAACTATGGAGACGAGGTAATAAAATAAAAAGAAAGTTGAGAACAACAATAAAATGGACCTACAATATTA